GCACTCATGACGCAGCTAAATCACGCGAGCATATATGCGCTTGCTTGCGTCCGCCAGAAGACCACATGACTGACAGATGCCTAACCCTGCCCTGAGCATGCAGAATTCATGTTTGACTCTTGAAGACATGTCGACATGTGCAGGCTCGCAGTTGTTTTGAGCCCTTCTGGCCTTGGGTTTGAGGGCCAATGCCGTGCCCTCCAGTGTTGCCCTTGCTGCTTCTTGGGGCGCTGGCTTGGCTGCTGCTTCGATGGGCGCGACGGATCCGGCCCAAAGCGGCCGAAGCTTGTCCGAGGACCGACAGGGAGGTGATTCCGGTTCACCCCGAAACTCGGGAGTCCGAGCGCGAGCTTCGCGAGATCGTGATCCCAGAGGTTCCAGACTGCGTCCCTGCAGAGGCGCAGCGATATGAGCACAAGTTCGGAGCCCCAACGTCAGAGCTTTACAAGATGGACTACCGCCCCGTCGATGAGGATGTTCCTTGTTTGATCCAGGCTGCCATAAGCGACGAACTACAACGCCCGCATGTGGAGCAAAGGCTTGAGCAGTTGCGATTGCTTTGCGGCGACTTGCCTGCCTCCGGCTGGGTTCAACCTCGTGATCCCCGTGTTCTGCTGAGGCCTCTGCTTGCGGAAGAGGGTTACGCTAACGGGGATTCAGGTGATGCTCCGAAGGATAACCCGGCTAAGCCGAACAGTGAGTCAAGCCCTGCTTTAGTATCGGGAGCCGCAGACGCATGTGGATAAGTTGCTGACAATGTGCAGGTTCCTGCTGGCCCGACAATGCAATGTGCATCGAGCCAGAGAGATGCTCCAGGCGCTCGGTCCTCAAGCTATTCGGGTTCCAGATGTGGGTAGGAGCGAAAGCCTGTCTATAGAGAGCGCATCCTCGGGGCCCTTCCGAACACCTCCCAGTACTGCTCTCTAAGGGACGGCGATCACTCCGCTAGGATCCTGTCGCTGTCGGAGGGTTCGGGCCAGTCCCGGCCAGGACGTTCTATCCTGGCGGCAGCAGCACCACGTGGCAGACGCTTTGCCCCACTGGGAGAAGGCGCGAAACCAAAGAAGCCGCCTTTTGAGCACAGCGTTTTAGAGTCGAAGGCAAGGGCTGGCAGTGCCTTACGTAAGTGTTAGCCCTTCTTTCGCCAGGTGAAGCACGAGAGGTTCGATTCCTATTGGAAAGCTTCAGGCTGCACAGGGGAAGACGGCCAGGGAGATCTCGTGGTTTTTGAGAGAATTGGCCAGTATGACGTCCGTGGACTTCTGAGATGCAACCAGGCTTTCATCCAGCAGCACTGCATCTACAGCGCCGAGTGCGTTCTCGCTAGCCTTGAGCTTGCGCGGAGGCGCCATCTTCAAAGAGGCAGCAATCGTGGATTTCAATTGACCGTGGTCGCAGACATGGCCGGTTTGGACTTCAGCTTCCTGGATCCCAGGGCCTTGCAAATGTGTAAGACAGTGGCCAGGCTGGAAGCTGACCACTACCCAGAAGTCTTGAAGCGCATCATCGTCGTACGTGCACCATGGATTTTCGCCGCTGTGTGGCAGCTGTGCCGGCCATTTATGGATAAAGGATCGCTGGAGAAGGTGGACATCGTGAAAGACAGTGAGACGGCTGAAGTGATATTGAAGCATGTTCCTCCAGAGATCGTGCCCAAGGCGCTCGGTGGCAGCATGCCTTCTGCTGAGGGAGATGAGTACTGCAGCAATTTGATTGCTCCTGGCGGCAAGATACCTGAAGACATCATTGCCATGACCTTTGCTTCAACGGGAGAGGCATGAGAGCAGCCCTACGGAACTGCGACGTTGTACAGCGCGGCTTCATGCTCGTATTCCTGTGGTTGATTGAATCCAAGTGAGGTCTGTGCACCGAGAACATAACCGCCAGGAGCGGAGTCTCAAGGGCGGACGCTCTTGCCACCCTTGGCCATGAAAAAGAGGCACACCAGCTGAGCGTCTCTTCCGGGTCAGTCGACAGCAGCGCACAGAGGAGCATGAATCTTTTCGGAGTGCAGGTGTGATGCCACGGTTCGCTTGGTCTCGAAGCTCTGAAGCTCTGCCGACAGTCTTGGGGCTCGGAACCACGTAGCCTCCTAGAACACTCAGACCTGGGACGTGCGAAGGCCAGGCTTGGGGCGATTTCGGTCTGCTCGAGGACAGGATTCAAGTTCCCGGAGATTCTTTCACGGACCCCAACCTGCGCCTGAGCCCCAACCTATGCACTACAGACGTTTCAGGATCTGAGGCACGAGCACTTTGCGCAAGCTGGGGGTCCCTTCTCGAAAGCTCCCAATATGGCACGGTTCAAATTCGGTTCAGAGCGGAGGGGGCTTCTAGATAAAAAGTGCACCTGTCTGACACGAGGCCGCCGGCCTTTTCTCCGGGGATGGGCTGCGGAGGGGCCAAGCCTGCACAGGTGCCGCCAGGGGTCCAGGAATTCCTAATAGCTTTGGGTTCAGCGTGTAATGTTCGGGAGCTGAAGGCTTAGAGCCTCAAGGCCTTTGAGGTGCTTCGGATTCATGTTGCCGGAGCTCTTCTCCGCAGATGCAAAGCCGAGGTCCAACGGTTTCTTTTGGACAGAGCCTTTGTAAAGAGGCACAACAAGAGCTAAAGAGATGGACAGTCTTGCCTCTGCCTGACGGGACACTCCTTCAGCCCCTCAACCTCGGAAAGAGAATTGGACCCGGAACCTGACAAATCAAGCCTCTCTAGATTTTGTCTGATTGGGGGCTCTTAGTCGAGCATCTCCAGGATCTGAAACTGTCCGTCATGCCCTGCTGTGGCGTGGAACTCGTTCACAAACTCCCAGAGACCCTAGATCTCTAACCATCCCAGTTCTCACTGCAAGGCGGCCGCGAACCCGCAGCAGCCTTCCCCGCAAGCTTCGCCACAGCAGCATTCGCAACAGCAGGGCGCACAGATGGAGGGTGAAGTAGAAACCTCTGCACTCCGTCCCAAGTCACAAAAGCTTGATACGGCGAGGAATGCGATGCAAGTGACGCTGTCTTTGCAAGAACTCCTCGTGGCATAAAAGAATCCTTGCGATCCAGCGCTGATGGAAAGCTGAGTTATCAGTTCGCGCCTGCCAGGATAGAGGCACTGAGCACCCAGAAGTTGACCATGGAGACAGCAAGAGCACCTTGAAAGACCACGAAGTCCCTCTTTCTTCTGCTTGTAGAACGTAGCTCTTGCTTTGTTTAGCAGTTTGGGACGCCTCGGCGTCCGTGGGTCCATAGGTTGAGAAACCCCAAAGCCTGAAGCTTTGTTTCCTTGCCTGCCGACCTGCGGCCCCCGAGGCAGAGGGCTTCTTCCCGACACCCGAACACTCCATGAACGAAGCCCGGACCCAATCCCAACCACCTGGAGTCAAGAGAGAAAGAGCCAGGCCCGTGATCCCGGCACCGCAAGCATCCGCAGCCACAGTGAGGCACGCGTTCGTCAGCGCGTAGTGATTTCTTGAGTCTTTCGAAGCATGCACATGTACCCAGCTATCTACCTATCCACCTCCTTGTGTCTTATGTATCACCGTTCTATCTATCTACGTAGACGTATGCCGACGACCAGGGCAGATGCGTTCGCGCTTTCTGGAGCGTACGAACCGGCCTGTAACCTGAGTCGAACTGCATGATCCCTTCTGGCCTATAAGGCAAACGGACCAATGTGAGAAGGTAGAGCCATGTGCAAACTCTGCCTAGAGCTCGGCGGGAATCAAATTCAGGGCATAGGCTTCTGTCATCACGACAGAACCACGATGCTCCACTATGAAGAAGTATGCAGATAAAGTCGATTTATCCTTGGATCATGAATTCTGATGACATCTGCACCAGCAACTGAAACGAGAGGCATCAACACAAGGAACTGTCTCGGTTGTCTCTGCCAAAAGAAAGGGTCCGAAAACCATGCTGCACGCACGCAGTGGTTTTATTTGTGCCCACGGCTGAAGGTACCCGTTTCGATGCATCCAGCCGACAGGACCACACAGAAAACCAAAGCAGCACGCAGCAGCGATTTGAAAGTGCGCAAATACCCCTTGCGGTTGGGACAAACGGCGTCCGCGACACTTTGGCGAGCTGAATTTGTACTTGCCTGCATTTCATCCACGCTGAAGTCCTCAAGCATGAATCCTCCCACTCAACGGTTTCGAGATGCAGGAGTGACAAAGTCATTGTGCCTCGCAGCTTCCGGCTGCTAGACGAGCTGGAGACTTGCAGCAGACAAAGCTTCTCAGGGTTTTGTGGGCCAGGTTGGTGCCATGGTGCTTCGGCCCCAAGCCACCGAAAGCCCCTTTGCCTAGAGGTTCGAACTCAACATCTGCAGCAGAAAACAACAAGGTCACAATTGCTTCGTCGTTTCTTCTGTTTACAGCATGCTTGTGATAGATGAGTATTGTTGTTCTTGCTGAAGCGAACCCGCATCTAGCGCTGTGTTCTGAGACCCTGTACTTTTTATCGGGACAGCCAGCGGCCACAAGCGTTGGAGATGGAGGGATGGGCGTCCCACAGCGCAGCTGAAAATGACGGCTCTTGGGTTTCAGGCATCAGTGAAACGGGATGATACCAAGGTCGCTCCCTGGCATCGCTGTACTCCTTCAGAAGGAAGAGCCCACATCCCAAGAAGCCGATTTCCTGATACTTTCGGTCCTTGACTTCGGGTTCTGGAGTGGATCTTCGGAACAGCTGCAACAGCTGAGGAGAAGGGCCAAAAGTGTGAAAGAGCATCACACCTTTCGTGGGGCCTGGCCTACGATGACGATGCCTGTCTGGAGTTGATGGTGTTTGAGTTATCGCGGCGTGTCGGACGAATTTGGGCTTTCGAATTTCTCTGTTTGCAGTTCCCAAAGCTCAAAGCTCTTCATTCCAGCTGCTAAAACCCCTCGAAGCCTTCAAGCACCGAATGAAACCGAGAACGCTACACCACGCCTCCGAAGCCCCGATTAAGGCTCTGCTTGTTTTCGATTTCTTGTGCCAAAATATGTTGCTGCGCCCTGGCTCCCTCTTAGGCTCCGACACCCATACTGCCCAAGTTACGGTCATAGCGTAAAAGCGGCCTTCTGACAGGGACTTCTACTAGTACGACGTGCTTCATGTCTGAGCTTCCAGCAGGGCTAAAGGAAAGGGCGATGGTCTTCAAAGGCAACATCAGTTTTGGAATGGCTTAGAGGTGCGAGGCACTACATGGAATCCTTCATCACGTGGAAGGTCTCTCTCTGATTTCAGCTTTGTCATCACGGGCCACATCCCGGAGCCTCGCTAGCTTGTCTTGGGGTCCATCCGTCATCCACAACTTTGATCACGCAAATCGTAACAACCCGAGGTAGTGTCACAAGGCTGGGATGAAACTTTCTTCCGCGTGTTGTGTTGTGCACGAAGGCCCGGTGAATCTCATCTAGGATACATCCAAGACTCTGCTAGATTCGTTGTTCTGCCTGCTTCTATCTCCACGTTGCGCGGATCCGGGGTCCCGGAAGAGCTGTCCAGGACATCACCCTGACAACGTGGAACGGAACTATTTTTGGACCTATTGACACAGCCTTTGACAACCGCATCTACTCGTTGCAAATTGCCCGGAGCTTAGAGCAGCTTTTGCCGTTCTCTCAGCGGTCAGTTGTTCTTCCTTTCCGTAGAACTCACAATGTGCGCGAACAGCTTTTGAAGGGTCTGATGCCATTGATCTCTTGGTTCCTTTCTCCGGACGCCCTGATGCAATCCTCTGCTCGATGTGTTTGAAGGCGGGATTCCAAGTCCAGCGCTTTCGGGCGTTGCCAACAGCTACCACTAGAATCATCGCTCTCGATGTCGGTTTGGTTCGGCTTCTCCAGCAAACGGCATCAGCTTACCTGATCCCCCATGTAGAACCGAAGCCAAAGACCCTAAATCAATAAGGTTTGTGGACAGAACTATCCAGATGTCCTGCCAGAAGTGCGCTTTACCGCGACCTGGCTGAGAGAGTTTCGTCTGGGTGCTGCTATGTACCTCACGATTAGTTGAATGATCCTCGGGTGATGTTTCACTTCACGGTTAGGTGAATGATCCTTCATTCCAGGGTTTTTGCGCATCAAAGCGTTCTACTTTCAGACAACGGTAGGGCTCGAAAATTCCGAGAGCCTAGCGAAGAAGGCTGACGAACGAAGTCTTCGCAGTGTCTTCACAGTTTCCCGAATCATGGTCCAGTTGGGTGTTCGTGCGGACCAAGATGGCAAGAACTTCACGAGCACTCCTCCTTTGCTTTAGAGGTTCCGCGGTATCTTCAGAGTTGTAAGCCCATCCTGTTCAGACGGCGTCCTGCCACAGCCATTCGGTTTGTGTTGCATGTGGTGCTTTGAGTTATGCCACACGGATCTGGGCACAAAAACGTGATCTACCTCAAAACACAAGCCGGTGGAAGAAGACAGGGCGACCAACCCGAATGACCGGCATCCATCTCACAAAGATGGTTTGCGCTTCTATTCAGCCGACAAACTTCTTAGTGTATAGCACCTAAGCCCAGAGGCCTCAAGCCCAAAGCCCCCAGAATCAAAGCCCCATAAACTCTAAGCTCCAACACGGGAACTGCTAACACATGTGCGAGGCGGGCATCAACATGAATTGCGTCGAATCGGACGGGACAGTCAAGCCCACTTGGGGCGTCTTAGGCAAGGCAATTCATTCTTAGTGTCAGAGTTCCGGATTCTGAGGATAGCGAAGATGCCACGAGAAGAAGCTGAAAGATACAATTTCAACAGCAGATGAACTCGGAAGGAAGTCGAACTGAATTGGCTGGAGGATTCTAGCATTGCTTGGGATATCAGTGCTGCTATCACAATAAAGGTGAGCAACGCTGCATTTTGGCTTGGCTAGGAAGGCCAGCACTTTATATGCTGCAAATATTTCCCTCTGGTTGGCTATTGCCATTTGGATTGTAGGCCAAGGCCAAGAAGTTGTTGCCACAATTGGGCACTCTCCCTGCTAGCACCGCGGGCATACGATCCTGCCAGATAGGATGTCCAGCCATCGCAGCAACGAGATGCCACCCAAGCAAGTGCAAAGAACTTCTGGCTATCTATAGCTATGCCTTTCAGGTGACAGCGCAGCCTTGTATGAGATCCCCCTAGGACGGAAGCGAAGAGCCAAAAGAACCCCTAGTCACTGGCGCTCACTGGTACGCCTAACCTTGAGCTTGAAGACTCGGTCTTCCAAGCATCTGAAGACCTTGCATAGTACGTAGGAACCCCCAAGAAACCCTAGTCCCAGACGAAGTAGAAGAGGCAGTTGGAAAAGAGACTATACCATCGAGACCGTCCTGGACGCACTCCGCCGGGAGATGTGACGACCTGAGCTCGGCTCGGCTCGGGGGTTCCTTGTGGAAGGGCCCTGAAAAAGGCATGCAAACAACAACAGCAGCGGCATCCACAGTGAGATGTAGGATGCTGCAGCAGTATTCATATATACATACATACACACAAAAACATATATCGACACTGGTACAGAACACAATGAGCTTCCTGCGATCCGGAGAGGGTTCAGGATAGGCATCGCGACCGGTGTAGCTTTCAGAACAAACACAACCAGGACCGCGGCCCATTCAAAAACGTTGAAGTCTCCACAACTCTTGCTGTGCTCTACACCATGGAGCCGCTTTTCCCACGTCACCAATAAGCCAGAGTGTCAAAGTTTTGCCGATGATGCTCTGCAGTGGATAACTCCAGAAACATGAGAAACTGAATCTTCCCAACGCCGAGGTGCAGCCCTGCAAACCGCCATTTGACCCAGCCGGATACCGCGCCCCCCGCGCCAAACAGCTGAGCCACTGGGACGCAGAGCGATGCGGGGTTACTGAGATTCAAAGTTGGTACATCACGCAACCAGCATGCCCATCGCAGCTACATGAGCTAAGCAAGCACTATTGCTAGTATGAGCATGACCTCTTTTACGTGTTTCTCCGATGATGCCATGCTCTTTAACCTCCTTCCATCGTTTTATGTTTCAAGGCCTGAGACCACGAGGCGTAATCGGCTTAGCAACGAAGCCTTCGGGTTTCAGTTCTCTCGGGAGTCTTTGCGAAGTTTTGCCGCTGCGCAAGGTTCCTTGGGCAGTGGGAGCAGAGGACGGAGATGCGAGTGAAATAGCAGGGAGGTTGCTGAACACCGTGATCACAGCATGTGAAAAGCAGACCAGTTTGCATCCGGTTTTGAGCGACCTCCGACTTCAGATTCGAGCCTTCGCCTCGAAAGGCTTCCGAAGGCAAGAGGGCAGCGGGCAGCTTCTCAATCGGGGACACCTTGCAGTACTTTGACTACCGGTCTGTTATCCCCAGAGCTACTTCCAATGTTTCCCAGAGCTTCGAGCTCCCACGCGAAGGCAGAGTACAGTAGAGTGGCACGTGCGAGGCAGCACGTGTTCGAGGTAAAGTAGGCATCTTTGCTAAACATCACAACGCCAAAGTCCTCCCTGCGAAACCGAAGCATAATTATTGGCAAGCGTACATATTCATGCCTAAATGCGGCACAGGGTTAGACTGCTGTTTGCACCCTACCCCACAGTACCCACTGAATCTCGTGAGCCCTAACCACTGAGCGTTTGACTCTCGAAACATGTCAGGCCCCCTCAAAGTTCGGCCACAGACTACCAAGACCGCAGCACCGGATAACGAAACCGAATCCATCAGAGAGCCGACATGATTAGCAACAACTCCTTTTGTGCATGTATCCCCCGGATCTCCATTTTGCTTGTTTTGGCTTCTGTTGTGCAACGATCTGGACCCCACAGAATCCATGAACGGTACAACTGTACAACAGAAGTGCCATAGTGAAACTGCTGTAACCCCGCCTGGCACGCAGACACGAGGAGCGTCCCGTTTAGGCGAGTGCCTGAGCATCACAGCAAGTGCGAGAACGTCAAGAGAAGACACAAGAGTCAGGATATCATCGTGAGACTAGCAGAAGACCAGCAGGAAATCGTGCTGGCAGCACGAAGAAGGCAGAGCAACACGAACAGATCAGAGGAAGCTACTCAAGAGCAAAAGCAGAGGCAACGAGCACAGCACCGGCAGATTGTGCAGACATTCGACGCAAGTACATCACTGACAAAAGTACATCACTCACATTGACCCTAGTACGAAGCATGACAATAGCAAGGAGATGCTGTCATCAGCGGAAGTCAATACATTTCTTGTCAGCATCATGAAAGCCAGACCGCTCCACAAAAGAGTGAGAAAGGGTCCTGCCCAACAGCTACAGAAGGCTGGGAGCGGAAAAGGATTCTGAAACAGGACGGTTTCTATGTAGTGCTGATGACCATGATCATGATGATGATGATGATCACGATGAACCTCGGTTTGTAAGGTGAGTGGGTCGTGATAGACATGACACAAAGGTGGCTACCGTGATATTGAAGTCAGTATGTTGGGGGCATTGTTGGTTTAATGGCATTTGTTGAGCAGGGTCTCGCATCAGCAATCACATAAGAAGAACGAAAAAGGCTGGATGCGAAAGGACTAGGCACAAGAGCGATGTTGTCCGAGACGGTGCACTTGCTGTTGAACAAATTGGTTTTCGAAAGGCGGCTCTACTATTCCAACCTGTGGGATGGCAGCTGAGAGTTTCGTTTCGGTGTCAAGGCTGCATGGATTACCACATTCTGTCAATTCTGAGAGTCTGTGAATTGTACCATCTACGAAACAGCAGCCAGCAGCCGTCCTAGGAGTAGACCGCCAAGCGCAAGGGACGGGTCCAAGACCCCTGGAAGAAATGTAGGATCCCGAACAGGCGCCTATGGTAGAGAGATGTCCAGACACATAACATGAGCCCGTCTGTGAGCTGACATGGATCTGTTGGCTACTAGACATGACCTCCACTCATCCAACCTTGCAGTTCAAGTTGATGGTTCTTGAAGAGCTTCTTCAGCTTCCTGGATTGGGTCGGACGCCCACAGAAGACTACACACCGGTACTTGCTCAGTGCAGGGGACTTGGAGGTTAGACTCCGCTTTATGCTCTGCATGGGCATCCCGCGATGCCCGAGTCTCACCCGCAGTGCCGAGCCAATCCCTAGTCGGAGGATTTGCTTCCGTGTTCGACAAGCCAGCTGTGAGCTACATGGGTGCTCGTCTCGTGACAGCTGGTTGACAAACAACGCCAAGTCAGGTGCTGAATCTTGAAACGATAAGTTAGACCCGCAAAAGGCTACTTCAAAGTAGATCTTGTTAGCTCAGCCTGTGCACTCTCCTGTGGTTCATCACACACAGGAATTACCCTGCGGCATGCGAACTGATACTTCATCCCGAAGACATGATTCTCCACGTGCACCAGCACGAACCAGCGAACAAAAGAACCAAGGTTGGTGGTTTTTGGAGTCAGGGCACCTATCTTGCTTTCTCGTGGTAAAGGGTCGCTGTTCACAGCAGGTCCCATGGAGTTCGGCCCCTTTGAGCTTAGAATGCCCTAGAGCACATAGAGCATCCCACTGGCGATGCGCCCGAGGGGATCGGAAGGCACTGGGATAAATCTCCATGCCCGGGGACTTGGGGCTTGACTCTCGCGGCCTACGCTTTATGATTCAACTGACTCACAGCAGTGGGCATGCTCGGCTAGTACAGTATGCATGAAAGCTGTGAGCCTATGCTTTCACAGGTGTATCAGCCCCGAAACCACCAAAAGAAGAAAAGTTCGCGTCAATCAGTGTGAGCTTACTTCAAGCTAGACCGGCAGACAGTGTGTTCCCCCACGTGGAGAAAGAAACAGAAGGCACCTAAGTGCCCCGGACCTGGAGATTCTGTAGGTGTCCGAAGTGATTACCTTTAGCGTTTTTAGCTTCTGGCACTCACTGCCACAAAGCTGCACATGAACCTCAGGCTGCGAGCATGTAAAGACTTTCCAGTTCTAAGTCAGCTTTGGAACGAAGGCGCGGGCAGGGATTGATTTGATTCCTGACCCCGGCATTGCCCACATGTGTTTCAACCCTTAGCTGTCCGGACGAAGAGTGCCGGCTTATCATCCCTCGGCCCTGTCGAAGCTTTACAGGTTAAGGCGGTTAAGGTAAGGTCCATCGCAATTGCAGCCTCTGCAATCGTAGCAACCCAGCTGTTGTGGGTGAGGATATGCGCAACTCTACCTTCCATCAGTCAAGTCCAGTCTCTACAGTTTGAAGGATATCAACCACCCCCCTCCCCCCGCCTGCGTAGAGGTCCCAGCACCAGATGGTTTAGTTGAAGCAGCTGGGCTTTGAATGGCTCTGGGTATCAGGAGCTCGGGGCATCTACAGCCAGGCCAGAGATGCAAACTCGTTGCAAATGTCCAGAAAGCAGATACCGGAGACAGACGGAGAGACAGTGAGACAGGGAGAGAGAGCGAGAGAGAGAGAGAGAGAGAGGGAACGTTGTCGGGCACCACACTGCATCGCTTCAGTTTGTAGCTGGCCATGTTCAGGCACTTGGAGGCTGCAACAGATGAGAGCAAGTGCGTTGAAGGTTACGCAGCGACAACGTGTAAACAACGAAGCTCCGAGAACAAGAAGCGGCGACTAGCCCTAGAGCTCTTTGAGGACAACCTCTTGGATCGTTACAATGCCGTACAGGGTTTGGCTGTCGCCCCTCTCCGCATACTGCCAGCGTGCGGAGATGGAAAGCAAAGGCCGAAAGAAATGATTCTGATTCGAGAGCTTTCGGGATGGAGTTCCTGCCCGGATGCCACCCACGAGTGTTTGGATCTGGGGTGCTTGAATAGAAGAAGCCTTCGCCTTCCACCCGGTTCATGCACCGTGCTCAGACGTCGCCGATGTTAGCAAGGTATGCGCAAACAGGCCCCGTCCTGGGACACCCGCCCCTAAGTGTAAGCTTAGCCGGTGGGGTCGCAGGAGCTCGGTAGGGGTCCGGAAGCCGAGGCCAGGTTACAATGGTGCCCAGGCGTACATAGCATAAACTGCTCGTGCTCCACATGGCATCAAAAAACCTGGCATGTTTCACAGACCCTGTTTGTGTTGATCTACGTGCGCACATGAGTATGTACGAATGTACTTATTTTCGTAATTCAGTGCCACATGTACAGACATGCATACATGAATATGTGCAGCATACACATGCCTTGACTTACATGCACTTCCATATATGCATGCATGTATAATGTATGCATGTATGTATGTATGTACGTATGTATGTAGGTATGTATGCATGTATGTAGGTATGCATCTAGATATATATATATATATTCATCAATTGATTAATGAATAAATTGGTTAATTAATTAATTAATTAATTAGTTAATTAGTTAATTGGTTAATTAATTAGTTGATTAATTAATTAATTAACTAATTAACTGTTTAATCAATTAATTAATTAGTTAATTACTTAATATTTAATCAATCAATGAATTAATCAATTAAGTAGTTAACTTTTTTTAATTAACTAACTAATCAATAATTAAGTAATTAATTAATTAAGTAATTAATTAATTAACTAATTAACTAATTGATTAATTACTTAATTAGTTAATTTAATAATTAATCCATTCATTAACTAATATATGAATAGCAGGCATGCGCGCATTCACACTGGCAGGAATTTTCAGAGATGCAATAGGAGAAGGGTGAATAGCGCATAGCCGTCAACCGGCATCGACGGACATATCAAAGGGGGAGCCAGTTCCACTAGTTGCTTATGCCCATGGAAACAGGCGTACTTAGCTTTCTCCGTTGTCTCGTGAAGGCAAGTGCTTCCGACTTCCCATCAGCTTCTTAGAGGCGTGCAAGTTCAACCATAATGCCGACAATAAAGAGGCCACACTGCTGCGTGACTGCTTGGCGCTCTTGAAC